CACAGCCTCGCTAGTTGAACATCTGAAATTAATCTATGAACCCGGGTGGAAATCAGCATTTAGTTGACGCAGGTTTGACTTGCTGTTATTGACTAAAATAAGCCAGACAAATCTATAAATAAAGGCAGTTAACAAAGGTTAAGACATTTTAAAGTTTGCTTATAAGTAACTCTGTGATTAGAAACAAACAGAACTCTGAGGTGTTGCGCTTCTGTCAGGGAAAAGCTCAGATTAAAATTGTAGATTTTACTTAAGAAAGCAGTAAAAGCAGTAACACGCATGGTGTTGATTTCAGCTTTGTACAAACTCATCTGTAAAGTAAGATTTCCCAAGAGGGAAACCACCTGATGCAGTTGTTTGATAGGGGATTCCCCATGACTAGTGGAGAACATTGTGACAGTCACAGTATTGAAAATGCAGCTTACTATTGTTTTCACAAGGCATATCACCGCATAGTCACAGCTTAGCTCTAATTTTTGTATATGAGACATGCTCAGCTAAAAATGGTATGTCAGAGATTTCATGGCTTCTGTTTGGTTTCCTGCCCAAAACTATGTTGTGGCTTTATGTCCTAGAATTCTTTTTTGAAATTTCTTGTCTGGTTGTGTACATGTTTATGCCTCCTCACCAGCGATAGCTGCAGCCAGCAGGTATGGTAGACCCCAGCCTCTATTGATCTTGTACTTAGGGTCTGTTCCTGTGCTGTCAGGATTAGTGCTTCTGTGTTGTCTTCCAGTCCAGCGTTGTCCAGCCAGGTTCTCCGGCTTCCTCCCACAGTCCAGCAATATGCAGCTTAGGCTGATTGGTGACTAACTTGTCCATAGGACTGAGTGTGTGTGGTTGTTTGTGTATATGTCAGCCCTGTGATAGACTGGCGGCCTGTCCAGTGTGTACCCCGGCTCTTGCCCAATGTCAGCTGGGATTGGCTCCAGCTCCCCTGCGGCCCTATGCGGGAAGCAGTGTAGATTATGGATATGGATATGGAGATATACAGTGGGTACGGAAAGTATTCAGACCCCCTTAAATTTTTCTTTGTTATATTGCAGCCATATGCTAAAATCATTTAAGTTCATTTTTTCCCCTCATTAATGTACACACAGCACCCCATATTTACAGAAAAACACAGAATTTTTGACATTTTTGCAGATTTATTAAAAAAGAAAAACTGAAATATCACATGGTCATAAGTATTCAGACCCTTTGCTCAGTATTTAGTAGAAGCAGCCTTTTGAGCTAATACAGCCATGAGTCTTTTTAGGAATGATGCAACAAGTTTTTCACACCTGCATTTGGGGATCCTCTGCCATTCCTCCTTGCAGATCCTCTCCAGTTCTGTCAGGTTGGATGGTAAACGTTGGTGGACAGCCATTTTCAGGTCTCTCCAGAGATGCTCAATGGG